AATACTTAATACTCACTTCAAGTACTCGCCACTCAATCTCCCGGTTTTCAGAGGTGATTGACAGGCGGATGAGCCAATCAGGGACGTGTGATTGAAACAAATATAGCGGCTTATGAGGAAAAAAGAAAGAACAAAATATGACAAGGGACTGAAAACACTGTGTTCCAGGTCATACACAAAAGATTTGAAAATGTCTTGTTACCGTTTTTTCAATCCAATCCACTTTATTTCTATAGCACATTTCATAAACAAAACAGTTTCCAAAGTGCTGCACAATACAAACAGAACATATCCAATAGAAGTTAGAAAATAAAGCTCTACTTAAATTAAAAGGTAAAAAAAAAAACATTAAAATAAAGACAAACAAGACACAGAGGACCACACATGCACACGGTGTTAAAAGCCTGAGAGTAAAAGTGGCTCTTAAGACGAGATTTAAAACTCTCCTCTGTGGGGGCTGTTGGACGTAGGGGGGCAGAGCGTTCTACAGTTTGAGGCCATACAGAAGGTCTGGTCCCACCTGGTTTTAAGTTTTATCTAGGCACCATGAGCTGGAGCTGGACCTCGGACCTCAGAGCACACGCTGGCAGGAGTGTAGTGGGCGTGGTACGTGGGGGTTCATCGTCCACACACTTTTGCCGACATATACAGAGATATAAAAAAAAAATAACAAATATAAAATGGCTACAACTTTAATGTCAGGTCTAAACCAGAACTAAACCAGGACTGAGTGTCAGGACGGGCCCAGCGGTGCGCCTGCGTAGACCGTCGGGTGCCCACAGACGAAAGGACAGAGCTCCACGCCCCATGGAGCTCAGCCCAGCCATCGCCCGATTGTGCTTTGCGGACACCTTGCTCTACGGGCTTGAGGTTCACTCGAATCACATGAATCGTTACATGTTGAGGGAATATTTTCTATGTCCCTTTAAAAACATGAACGTTTTAAAAACATGAGGTTCTCCAGCAGGCTGTTCCATAGACGAGGGCCATTGTACTGGATAGACGCCTCTTCTCTCCGTGAGTGTGTCACTTTGGGAATGACCAGGAGCCTGCTGCCAGAGGAGCACAGTGTCTGTAGGGTAATAGTAGTTCTGAAAGATAAGAAGTCCCCAGACCATTAAGACATTTAAAAACCAGTAAAAGAACTTTAAAATCAATCCTGAAACTCACAGGGAACCAATGCAGTGATATTAAAACCAGTGGAATGTTGTCCCGCCCTCTGGTCCTAGTCAGGACACATGCTTCTGAATTTTGTAATAATTACAAACTTGAAATACTATTTTTTTGGAAGACCAGAGTGCAGGGCATTACAATAGTCTGTTCGACTGGTGATAAAAGCATCAGTGTCTCCGTCATGATGTGGTAGTTTTCACGATAACAGCTACTTTTTACCTTTTACAACATTGAGTGCATATACATGCGCATCAGTGTTTCGGTTATGATAGGGTTTTTTGAGTATCCTGGTTTCGTCATGGTGCATGAAATACACAGTATCCCGGTTTCAGTATCCAGAATAAGGCAATATCCCGGTTATTAGAAACTGGGATACTGTAGCTAGTATACTCTGATAGTAACTGGGATACTGTGACATGTAAACGCAGTATCCCAAATACTAGAACATAAAGTTGAGTGGTATGCGTCCAAAAGACAACAGTAGAGGCAAAAATAAAGTGACCAACATAAATAAAGTGACCACACGAGTGAAATGACTGTGCTAAACCTGCACTTGTATGACCTGCACACGTATGATCACTGAGAAGTTAAACATGAAACATCTCCTATATGATACACGCACAGAACAGACTCACCATCATCATCATCATCCCTCTGTCACAGAGAGAACACTCATATTCCACTGAGTCATGTCCTTTAGTCCAACAGAAGTTGAACCACATCAGCGCACAAAGAAAGTGCTGTTTTTTTTTTTTTCAGCACTTATAGTTTATGCAAATGAGTCATGAGGTTTTAAGTTTTGTTTCTGTAAAATGTAAACAAATGTGCATAAAGCTGCATTACATTATCAAACCTGCTGATGTGGCTTTATAGTGGTCATGGTTTATATGTTGTGTTGAGTTTATTTATGCAAAAGATTTTAATTAAGAATCTGATTAAGAATCTGTTGCAGTGTGTTTGGAAACGGTCGGTTTGATCTGCGTAGTGGATCATAGCTCCTCACTGCTGAGTAGAAACCTCCTGAGCTTCCTCTGCTGAAGGAACTCATGGTTGTTTGTATTTTCCCTGGTTTATTAAATTAAGTTAAGTTCATTTCTGTGCTTGCGCATTTATACGATTGTGTCAGGAAACCAGGATACTTCATTTGATCATGTATACAGGGATATGAGTGTCCCGGTTTCTCAGCGTACATGTAAAAACAGTATCCCGAATACTGACAGAACCGGGATACTGATGTGCACATACATACACACACACTCATTGATTTAAAATGGTGTAATATGGGCCTTTAATACTGAATAGTAGAAAAAAAAAATAATAATAATCATGAAACTTTAAAATGTATCAAAATAGAAAGTTGTAAATTTCAGTCTAAGTCAAATCTACTGCAGTATAGTCTTTGTACTGCTCAGGGTGTTAGTCCTATCAGATTGGCCCTTGTTGTGACGGAGCCCTGACAGGAGCAGAAGGTGCCCTGACAGGAGCAGAGGGCGCACCTGTCTCTGTTTGAACTCAGAACCTGTGAACGCGGCGGTGTCTGGAGGTGTTTGGAGGTGTTTGGCGGTGTGAGGTTACCGAGGCGTCAGTCTAAAAACAAACACGGGGCTGCGTGATCAAACAAGCTCAAAGTGCATGACAGGGTTTCATGCTTCTCTAATGATTACTTTGTTTGGTTGGATAGAACCTGTGGTCAACTTTTAAATCATTTTTTTTTATTAGTTTTATAACAGTTAAGTGTGGAAAAAAGTTGAAAAAGAAAAAGTAGAAAATACAGGAAGCAGCAGTACAGAATCCATCCAAAAACTATGTCCAAAATGCAGGGACAATTTATGTACAAAGAAACACATTTTTCTGAAATTGGCTCCCCATCAAGCACACACCTACACAAAAGCTATGTCAATTGTGTGTGCTTTGATTGTGCTGCAAAAGTTTCATTTGTGCTGCTTTAGTTTTGGAGATATTAACGATTCTTTTGTAGATCAAATTGGGGTCAGTCAGCGCCCAGGAAGCTTCAAAATGCTCTAAACCAGGGGTGCTCACACTTTTTCAGCATGCGAGCTACTTACAAAATGACCAAGTCAAAATGATCTACCTAATACAAAGCCAAGCAAACTGCACTGAAACACTCTGTGGCCCTTTTTTGGACCCTCACCCACAGTTTGAGAACCTCTTCTTTAAGAGAACTTCTTCTGGCACTTTACACAAAACTGTGAAAAAAAGTGAAGGAAGATTTTTAAACCTGTTTTTTAAAGTTTCCAAACTGGAGTTGCATTCTTTTCTGGTTTTGCAGTGATATTTACCAGCCTCTGCACGTTTACCAAACCAAACGCACATCGTGACAAACACAGATGCATTTGTGCACTTTTGTTAGACAAACTTCAGCCAAATGTGGCAGTAGGTCTGTTCTGTAGATCTGCTCTATGCTGTAGACCTGCTTTGTGCCAACAAAATGTAACACAAATTTAGACTCGTTTTTGCTTCACGTTTGGTCTTGCTCTTCTAATCAGCCGCACTGTGGGAGGGGCTTGTGTTCGCTGTACGCAGGAAGGAGCGAGAGCGTGAAAAGGCGAGGGGCGGCGTGCTGACGTGAGGCAGATGGACAGGTAGGATGTTTAGGAATTTGAACCTGCCCTGTGATGCACGCTGGTACACGAGGGCACACGCTGTTGCAGACGAGCCGTGCATAGGGAGCGTGTGTGTTTGTGATGTGTCGTAGAGTCTCCGCGGGTTTCAAATGAGCGCACAAGCTGCACTGAGACGCCCCACACGCTCCTGCACCCGGCAATCTACCCACATGACCTTGGCGATCGACTGGTAGATCGCGATCGACGTATTGAGCACCCCTGCTCTAAAACAACACAAAATGGAGTCAGTCATTTGTGCTGCTTTGTGCTGCAAAAAGTTACTACAGCTACAGCTTCATGACATCACAAGGTGGAACAGAGCATTTTGAGCTTTGGAGATGTAGACTGACTAATAATAAATGATTACTCAAAATTGTGTGAATGAAACAAAACAGGAGGTAACAACATTAGAACATGAAGCAGTTGTGTTTAATATAGGACCTTTAAGGAACCTGCGTGAAGTTGGCCCCGCATCAAACACAAAACCTACACCAAAACTTTGTCAGTCGTTTGTGCTTCGTTTGTGCCATTTTGTGCTGCAAAAAGTTCCGTTTGTGCTGTTTTAGTTTTGTAGATTAATGTTTCTTTGGTCAAAGTACGGTGGCCGACAGGGGCCAAACGCACTGCAAACAAAAAACGTGGTGCAAATGGAAAAAACGCGCTGCAAGAAACAAAAACAAATGCATCATCATTAAATGCGCTGCAAATGGAGAAACGATGCAAAGCACAAAACGACGCATACCAAGAAAACACCTGCAAAAGAAAAACGCTGCATAAAAAGTCACCACAACGGAAGTGCTCCAAACCTGCAGGGGGCGCTCTCAGTGTAACAGCTCAATGGAGAGACACACCGGCTGGAGAGAGACAGGTACTCCTTATGAGAGAGACGGAAAACGACTATAAATTACAGCGGGAACAAATTATTGTTACGGTAATGTGGCTTTTATTTTATTATATTCATGTATTGTGTTTATAAATAATATAAATATCGCTGTACAACGCGGTACTTCACGTGCCGGTTATTTTATTGTATTTCACACCAGACTTTACAAGGCGATACATTAGCATGTCGATTAGCTTGTTTGCTAATAGCGATCAAATAAGAATAAGATAAGATAAAAAGATTAGAGATTGATACAAAACACCTGTTTTAATAGTACAGTCTTCTATACTTAAACCCTTTCCTTTTCTTTCCCCTTGCAGATGTACTGTCCATTTTGTGGATCTGCGCTTACAGCTTCACCTGCCTTTTGCCGTGCGTGTGGCAAAAACGTCACTTTTTTTAAAACGCGTCCAGGAGGAGACGCCTGCAACTCACGCACATATTGATGTTGCACAACCTTCCACCAGTCAAGGTAAACAGATTCATGATTTTGTGACAAAAATTATCAGAAGGGAGCCTGAGAGGTTCAGATCTTGTTCTTGTATATACAAAAAACACTTTTCTCTTCACTACCCTGGATTAGTAACTGGCATTAGAGGTATATTGAAATGCCCTGCAGAAAGTAATTTTATATGAACATAACTATGAACTCAGTAAGAGCATTGAATCAGTATGTAATTCCTATGTGTTTTTTTTTTAGCAGGAAGCATAGAAACATTTCTGAGGTTTAGGGCAGTTAAAGACAGGGAGAGAAAGTCATTCTTTTCAAAGAAACGTCAGGCCTCTCAGAGTGAAAAGCAACAGAAACCAGTGAAGGTATGATATGTTGTTTACATAGGGTGTTGCATAGGCTGTTCAGATTTGGCTGTCAGTGCAGATCTACACCTTGTTAAGTGACATATCATATTGATTTGTCATGTTGTATTTCTGTTTTATTTACTGTCATTTGTTATTTTGCAGATTTATGTTGGAGTTATGAGGTTGACAGGTGACTCCTTAAAACCTGTAAGAGGGAAATCACTGCCTCTGGACATTCAGCCTCACTGGTCATCAGAGCAGCTATTGGCTGCTGCTGTTAAAAAAACACATGGATTTTAACCAGGACATGCAAGATGTTGTCCATGTTTTGTTGTACCCTGATGGCAGACAAGTGAGAAACATCCCAGGAACAAATGACCCTTTCACTGTTCAGAAGTACAAGGAGGCAATTGGGAAGGCCTACCAGAGGATAACACTCTACATTTGCACTGCAGAGGATTTTGAAACCAGTTGTAAGTGTTCCATTTTGTATTAATTCATGGTTTCCTATTGGTATCTTATCTGTGCAGGATAAAGTCTGCAAATTATTCAGAACATTATAGTCATTTTTGTTTAAATGCCTTTTTTGAAGGCTATACTGGACAGTCTTCTAGTGAAGATGACAGTGTTGTCCATGTGAACCTGCCATCTGTGGAAAGTGAACTCTCTGACACTGTGGTGAGTGTATATATGTAAAAGACATAGCAAATTTGCCTATTGCCAGGTACATTACCATTTAACTATCAGTTAAGTTATAAAATTACATTTAATCTAATGTGTTATATCTGTATATTTATATTATGTGCTGCACGCAGGTCTGGGACACTCCAGATAATGTGAGCACCCCAAAAACAGACAACATTTTGCAGGGGTAAAAATTGCCTTAGTCAAGTGATGTTTTTCTTCATAAACAATTAGGAAGATTAATTATTTATTTGTTATTCACAGACCCTCCAGATGCCAACAACCAGAATCTCATCAAGTAAGATTATATCCAATAGTATTGATTGTCTAACATAAAATTGTGAAATAGCAGTAAATAATTTTGGAAATTAATTTAGTCATCCTAAGTCCTTTGTATCTATCCTTTTATGGCTTGCATTAGTTCTAAGCAGGTAACAGTGCTAAATGATTAACTTAAAAAATGTATTATTTTTAAATAGGATGGACAGCAATCAACTCCCCAGGATCAGTTAAGATCTTCACAGAATCTGAATACCTGGTATAGGTAAGCTGGTGGACAGTTACAACCTTAACATTTTTGGTTAGTGTGTGTATGTGTTAAATGAAGAACATAATACATTAGCGTATGCCCTGCAATTCCTTCACATTTTTTATACTTCTATGCTTTCTTTCTTGGAATATCCAACTATTTATTGACATTCATTTTTACTGCTATATTGCAACATTACAAAAAACTTACTAAAGACCAGTCAATCTACATTTCTCAACCAGCTACCCCAATTCACACCCAAAGTCAAAATAACATTAGAACTCCAACAAATATTTTTAAATTTTCTGGGAAGTGTAAGAAATGTACTATGTATATAGGTATTGTTGACTGACTGGAATCAATGAACTTTTTCCCTGCAGCAACTACACCACCATGTATGCACCTATAGTAGTTGACAGTGAGTCTGAGACAGATGACCACATAGACTACCCTGCAGAACAGTATGATATATTACTAGTTAGTACCTCATTGTTATTGTTGGCTCATATATTGGAACTCATGTACTGATATTCTCTTGCAGTCCGCAGGTTTTGAACCTGACTGCTGAAGACATTGTTTCAGACCTGGCCTCCAAGATTACCAACACTTCATACAGCAGGTTCAACATAAACAGGGCAAATATATGGGATGGAGCAATCAGAGGCTTCAAGCGACCATCTTATGACCCATCACATGAAATTTTGGTTAAATTCACTGATGATGAGGGGCGAGCAGAGGATGCAGTGGACACTGGTGGTCCCAAACGAGAGTTCCTCACCCTGCTGATGGACTGCCTTAGATCAAGGAGAATATTTGATGGTCCAGACGATAGGAAATTTCTCACGTTTGACTGTGCAGGTAAACATCTTATTGTTTCAGACTTAAATTACAGGTACATTGCATTTCTGAAAATTCATACTGAAAATTCAACATCTGGTTTTAGCTCTACACTTGGGTTCAGTGAAATTAACTTTGGTATGCATTTTCATGTGAACTCAAAAATGATTTTAATAGTGGACTAATGGATGGTAAAATGTTAACAGCTGCCAGAGATGATGAGTATTTTCATGTTGGGAGGATGATCGCTACATCCATAGTCCATGGTGGTCCAGGCCCTCGATTCTTGTCAGAAATGCTATACGACCACCTCACGGGAAAATCAACAGCTGATTTTGAGGCAAGGATTGAGGACATCACCGATGACACCATGAGAGCTTCCTTGCTTGAGGTTTGTGGTCAAATCAAGAAAGCTCACAAATTTGACTAATTGATCCCCTGAATTCCATTTTTAAAACCGGTTTAAAACTCGGTTCTCAGGTATTGTTCCATCTTTTTTAAAAACATGGAATAGTGAATACTTGTAATCTAACAACCCAACCATTTGTAGTAAAAGCCAGTTTGCACCATCTCAGAACATTATCTGAATTAAGCCCCTCCTTCCTATTTTATGACATAGACCAGGATTTTCAAATTGGGTAAATGTGAGCCTCCTCCTCCTCCTTAGAGTAGGTAAAGACAGGTAGTATCACTGAACATCAGTAGCCTGACACCAGTCCTGGTTCAGTGCTAGCTTAGTCCTAGTTTAGTCCTCCTGATTCAGTCCTGGGTTCAGTCCTGATTTAGTTTGTGTGTGTCGCGTCTCTCCAGTGGCTCTTTGGCACCTCCCAGGGGAGGCAGGTCTCACCTATTGAAAACTGCTGGCATAGACAATATAAAATTGTGTGATTTCTTTCCATCTTTATCTTTCAGTATGGGAAGTTAGTGGCATTTCACTTAAATGTATGGTTATTGTCTTGCAGATATCCAGTGCAGCAACACTGGTTGAACTGCATGCAGTGATCGACAAACATTCAAGTCTGTTGCAGATGGCTGGTTGTCTTCAGTATCCAAAAGTTGTATTGGACAAGAAGATAATAATGAAAGACTTCATGCAGTGGTACTTCATTTACCGCAACCATTTCTCAATTCAAAGGTTGTTGTTTTTTTTTGCATATTCATTGATTAAATGAATTTTATTAGTTATAAGTTGTAAAGTCTTATGTTAATTATTAACTGCCAAGTAATTAGTATGCTTAAAGGAATAGTTAAACATTTTGGCACCGATAAAAGGTAATGTACGTATCTCTATGTTTATAGGGATTATGGCAGTAGTCCAATTTGTTGAACTATCCCTTCTGATACTGCTATTGTTCTAAAGCATTTGTGTTTTTTGCTCTGTTGATGTTTTGTAGGTTCAAGGATGGGCTTTCAACACTTAACATGATTCATGCTTTGGAGCAGCATGCATCTATATTCAAGACATTTATGTGCTCAAGTGTGGAGCAGCTGACATCCACAATACTGGAAAATCTTTTTGAGGTTCAACTCAGTGAACAAGGCACCACAAGACGCCAAGAAGAAACCAAAGTATTAGCATTCTGGAGAGACTATCTCCTTGATACAGAAGGTTTATTATGTTTCTCTCATCTTGTATGAATAACAACTTTAATAAAACACATTTTAAGAACATGATCAATAATGCTTTTTTTTTTTCCTCCCAAGATAAACAAACAGGACTCTCCCTCCCTGACATCCTGATGTTCGCCACAGGACTCTGTTCTCTGCCCCCATCTGGGATTAAGCCAAGACCAAAGTTGGTGTTTCAAAGGGTGTCTCGCTTCCCATGCAGCAGAACCTGTGCAAACACCATGGAAATTCCATTGTCAACAACTTATGAAGAGTTTCAAAAGGACATGGACTTTGGAATACAAAACTCTCCTGGTTTTGGACTGTACTAATTTTTTTATTGTATAACTGATAGGTTGACCTTTAGTGTCTGAAGTTCAACAGTTATTACCTGTATTAGTGATGTTACAACTCAGCCATGTTCTTCAATCTAATATAAAGTTCCACACAGGTCTCCCAGGTCATTGGCTGCATTAGACCACTCTGTCTTTGTAGATCCTCAAAGTGTGACTGGAGATGACGATCTCCACATGAACTGTGTGTTGCCTCAATCTGAAATGGCCCCAGTTCCTCCAGTGAAACCGGAAACCCACAGTCAGTTCCACCAAACCTGGGAGTAAAAATATGTTACGTGTAGCTTGGACTCAACTAGCTGAGCGCAAGACTGTTACCATATGCAATACTATTAAGTGCAAGGGTTTTTCACATCTTTTCTTAATGTACTTCACTTCACACCTGTTGCTCTTTGTTATTATATTGTGATGTGTGGGTTACTGTATCCAAGTAATTTCCCTTGTGGATCAGTAAAGTTTGTCTAGGTCTATTGTTACATTTTATCCAGTTATTTCAATTAAGGTAATAAATAAATACATAAATGAATAACCTGTGAGGTAGGCTGTACATGACCTCTGGTTTCCCAGATGGACAACGAGACTGTTTAGCAGGTCTTATTGTATGAGTGTTCCACTTTTTTCTGCATTCATCAAGGTCATGTTGTAGCATATCCATAAATGCAAATCGCAGGAGGCATGTGTGCTCATGACTGCTGTTAAAGAGATTTCGCTCTCTCAAATCATTCATAAGGTCCATCCAAAATTGAGACCTGAAAACACAAGCTGGAATTAGGGCAATGCATTTCAGGGAATGTTTTTGGATTCTAATGCAATTGAAAATGTTTTAATTTGTTGTTCAAAAAAAGCAAGAAACTTTCAAGGACCACAATGGTCTATTTTCTATGTGTTTTAAAGACTATTTTAGAAATGTGCTTCTAGCATGTAAAACACTTAAAGAAATCCATAATAACACCTTTGTTTGCGAAAATAAGACCACCAGCTTTCAATTCTTTGGTTTGCCATTGAAGAGCCATACAAATGACTAGCAGCCCCAGCATAGTCGTCAGTGTGAGATGATCTTAAGGCACACTGAATTGCTGCCATTGTGCCATTTTCAGTGCCACAGTCAGTACGAAGTCGCATTGGAATGATTCCATATTCTGTCAGGCAGTTCATGTAATTCTGGGCAATGACCACTGGGTCATTGTTGCTTGCTCCACATTTCAACCACAGCACCTTTCGCGAGTATCCATCTATGCAGCCACTGATTCCAAAACCGTATGGTTTCAACTTATCGTATCCATCCACATGCCACACATGGTTCGGTCCATCAGAAGTGTAAACTCGCTTAACAAATCTTCTGCTTGCACGATGTTGAATTCCTTGTGGATCCAGTTCTCTCATCAGGGCCATAACATCATCCCTCCTAACTGTCAGCGAGTATTTTAGGCGCAATGTCTGCCACATTGAACGGTAGCCATAGTGTTGCCCTGGACCCTTTAACTCCTCCTGTATGGCCCCACAAACACTGGCAAGAGTAGAGTAGTTCTTTTGTCTGAACAAAGACAGCATATTCAGCTTCCTCTTCAAGGAGCGAAGGCTCATGTGCACATTGTGTTTAGAAGCTAAAAAATCCAAAATCTCCGCATTGCTGTAGCTCTCATTAAAATATCTTCTTATTAGGTCATCTGTGAGGACATCTGATGCTGACCCTATAAACATAAAGTGGGATAAAGGCAGACATTTTATTAGAATTATCACAAGCCAAATATACATGAATGCATTTTACATGAAAAAGTGGCATTAACATCATTGATCATATCAATGTTATTTAAAAACTGGATATGAGTCCACTTACCGTCTGCATATTCTGCTAAAAAATGCACACTGGAGCCACATGAGCCACAGGACATTGGTACATCGGTAGTTCCCAGATCGTGTCCGCAGTAAGGACAAAACATATTGGCCTGGAAAAAGACGATAGATCAGTATAAACTAGAAAACTGAAATCAGAAACGTGATAAGTAACGTCACTGATATGGGTATTTATACACTACCTCTTAATATACACAAACAGCGGAGATCATAAGTGTATAAGTTAACTGCTGGCATAATAAGCATAATACTTAATGTGCAGCGTTGTATCGTATGGAAGACTGCGATAAGATGGCTTTTAAATGTACTATTAAAACGGGTGTTTTGTATCAATCTCTAATCTTTTTATCTTATCTTATTCTTATTTGATCGCTATTAGCAAACAAGCTAATCGACATGCTAATGTATCGCCTTGTAAAGTCTGGTGTGAAATACAATAAAATAACCGGCACGTGAAGTACCGCGTTGTACAGCGATATTTATATTATTTATAAACACAATACATGAATATAATAAAATAAAAGCCACATTACCGTAACAATAATTTGTTCCCGCTGTAATTTATAGTCGTTTTCCGTCTCTCTCATAAGGAGTACCTGTCTCTCTCTCCAGCCGGTGTGTCTCTCCATTGAGCTGTTACACTGAGAGCGCCCCCTGCAGGTTTGGAGCACTTCCGTTGTGGTGACTTTTTATGCAGCGTTTTTCTTTTGCAGGTGTTTTCTTGGTATGCGTCGTTTTGTGCTTTGCATCGTTTCTCCATTTGCAGCGCATTTAATGATGATGCATTTGTTTTTGTTTCTTGCAGCGCGTTTTTTCCATTTGCACCACGTTTTTTGTTTGCAGTGCGTTTGGCCCCTGTCGGCCACCGTAATTGGGGTTCAGACCCAGGAAGCTTCAAAATGCTCTAAAATTACACAAAATGGAGTCATTGTTTGTGCTTCATTTGTGCTGCAAAAACATTTTCATTTGTGTGATTATGTTTCTTCAGATATTAGTTTTATTTTCAGCCTTTGACGTCATCCAGCCCCTCAATATGTTAAATAGCCTCAAAAAAGGCAGATAATTATAAGAAATGTTTGTATTTTGTTTGTGCTTATTTTGTGCTGTGATTATTTTCATTTGTGTGAGTTTATTTCTAAAATTTCATCACAGAGAAGACCCTGTACCCTCTGGTTTTAAGTCTCATTTTAGGCCCCACGAACTGGAGCTTTTGTGAGTCGATGCTAAACTAAGATGTACGTGGAGGATAAATTATTTCAATTCTCTTACAAATGTCAGTAAAGTAGAGTCATTTACAGACTTCGCTTATCCCGTGTGAATTCACTGCAAGTAACACAAAGGTGGGACGGTTATTTGTAAATTACCAGACGTTCCCAGGTTGTATTTATCCCGTGCAAATAGAGCTATAGACAGGGTTGGGAAGGTGACTATTAAAACGTATTCCCCTGCAGATTACAGATTACATACCCCAAAATGTAGTTTGTAACAGAATCCATGAAGTTACTTAAAGTGAGTAACGTAATCTGAATACTTTGGATTACTTGTATTGTCATTTTAAAACTTCATGAACGTAGCAACCACATCCTGAAAATTCTTGTTTTTTCTCTTCAAATTGTCTGTAGAGCCCAAGTCTCCGTGAACAGACAACTGTTTGCTGTAGAGAAGCAAAGACAAGGATACATTTACATAAGATGTTTTGTCTGCAAAAGACAATAAAAAGTCTTTCCATAACCATGATTTTTATATGAGATCACTGCTGCCTTAAATCATGTCCACCCTACTGCTAGCTGTCATATTGTTTATAAAAAAAAATAATAATAATAAATAAAAATCACTTTCAGTACAAACATAAAGATGCCAGCCCAGTAAATATCTGTAATATTGGATGTTTTTAACTCAAAATGATTCAGAATTAGATTATTTACAATGACGATTATTAATGACCTCGTCCATTTTGTGACTGACGCCACCAACGTTAACAAAACATTTACAGAACTCTTACTGCCGCGTTCTGTTTCCGGCAATGAGTGGAATGATCTCAATAAAATTTAAAAACATGGGATATAGCCCAAAATGTGAAAACAGGAAATTACCACTGTGTAATCCGTTTATTTCAACAAAGTAACTGTAATCCAATTACCACTCACTGAAACAGTAACTGTAACCAAATACAGTTACTCATAATTTGTACTCTGATTACGTAATGCCGATACATGTAATCCGTTACTCCCCAACACTGACTACAGAATAAATGTGTTTTCAGTTTGAGAGAAGAACTCATTTTAAATATGCAGTATGTGTGTGATAAACATGTGTGAATGAAACAAAACACAACTCCAGGTACATTTATGATGAGGAAACATAGTAAAAATTATAGAAAATATTGTAATATGCTCTCTTTAAAGTGCTCTAGGTTATATTCTAAAAAGAAATCTGTCTCTCACCAATACACAAAAGTTCATCCAAAGTGAGTTGTGTGGTCCTCTGTGTTTTTGGTAACACTTTATAATAACTACACCTTATTTAGCCTTAATAAAGCATGAACAAAGACTTAATTAATAATCACGCTTAGTAACTACTTAATTACTCCCTGAATTAGCACTTAACTTGCACTTAATTCGCCTGTGCTGTAAATAGTTACTCAATACTTCTTAATTACTCATGAACTAACCATTTGCATGTTTATAAATGCATATTTAAGTTCACATTTGAGCATTTATTAATGATTAGTAAGTTATGAGAGAATGATTTACTAATAATGCAATGCAATGATCATTCAGGCAGCTGTTATCTGTTAGTTAAGTCTTTCTGAGAGCCGAATTATGTTTATGAAGCATTTGTTAAGGTTGGTCAAATTCCAGAGAAACAATAATGCATTACTAGTAAATCATTCTCTCATGGTTTACTAATCATTAATAAATGCTCAAATTTGTACTTAAACATTTACAAATGCAAACACAAATGGTTAGTTCATGAGTAATTAAGTAAGAAATACTTATGAGTAACTATTTACAGCACAGGCGAATTAAGTGCAAGTTAAGTGCTAATTCAGGTAGTAATTAAGTAGTTACTAAGCATGAATCATTATTAATTAACCCTTTGTTCATGCTTTATTAAGGCTAAATAAGGTGTAGTTATTATAAAGTGTTTTTATTTATTTTTATGTGTTTTTATTGGTTTTATTGATTTAATTTATTTATTTGTTTATTTATTTCTATTCTATGATTTTGTTTTTATTTTTATTTTGATTCTGGTTTTATTTTATTTTACTAGTTTTATTATTTTAAGACTAGAATTATTTTAGTAGTTTATTTTATCATCTTATTATTGCTGTTATTATTGTGTATCTGTGCAGCACTTTGGAAACTGTTTGTTTGTGAAATGTGCTATAGAAATAAAGTGGATTGGATTGGAAAATTATTTATGTGATTTAGGCAAAAGAGAGATGATTTTCTGACAGCCCTGGGATTAAAAGTAAAATAAAAGGTAGCTTCATGACATCACAAGGTGGAACAGAGCATTTTGAGCTTTGTAGATGTAGACAGACTTATGCAACATTATTCATATGTGCGTGAAAGAAACAAAACACAACTCCAGGTCTGTTTTTGATGAAGTAACAACATTATAACATGTCTAAAAGCCCACAAGAGTCAATTTGTGTGATATAGAACCTTTAACACAAACATTTTCACATGTTATAGTGACATTGGAAACTAGAGTGTTTGAAGAAAGCGCAGTGTAAATTGGCGGCGGGTCTGACCGGCGGTTAAATGATGACGGATGAGCTCGCTGGAGGGACTGGGTGGTACCAGCAGGAGAAGCAGAAGCAGCAGGAGCCCTCACTGTCGGGTGAAGTAACCGCGTCGGCCTCTGGGGGGAGCTGTGGCAGTGCGGTACGCTCGCCGGTCTCCTCTGGTCTCCTCCTCTCCTTGTTTTTTCTCCTCCTTCACTTTCACACTAACAACACACGTGGCAACAGCAGGCGGAGGTGAGGTATTAATATCTTATAGCTCAGATGGAGACATAGCAAAATAGTGTGGATCAGATGTTGGGATGTGCGCCAAAAAAACAGAGAGGCAGGTTAAAGGAGACGTGTTTGATTATCTTTAGTATGTTTTAGTATTTAGTAATAAACTCTAAATATATGTAAAATAAAAAAAATCTTAGTAATAGAAACAGCTTTATTGACTTGGCTTCAGAATAAACCTTTCACCACAAGCACTCTCATTTGCTCTTAAGTGTTTTTATTGTTGAAACAAGGCTAAACTACATTTTTGACCTTACATAATAATAATAATTATGAAAATAATAATAATAATAATAAATCTAGTGTCTCAAGCAGAAGTGAAATCAAGTTGTTGTTTTGTCAAGTCTGAGTCAAGTCTCCAAGTCGTCTGCTTTGAGCTTCAAATCATTTCATGTCTTTAAACCACAGTAACTAATATAGCTTTGTTTTTTGCAATTTACCTAATGTTTAATGACATGGTACATTTATATAAGAGTATTTACATAAGAGTTGTAGAAATGCATTTTTTTACCTTTTTAAAACCACTTACCATCCACCCGCCCGCTGGCGGGCGATTTTCCAATAAAAAATGTTTGCTCTGTATATTCACCTTCATTATTGTTTTCACTACTGGCATGCCATACATCGTTTGAAAGCTTAATTTCTCAATAAAACAACCATATCATTCATTTTATGCCATACAACGAGCCCAAAACGCGATAACTTAAAAATTCACATCATAATCAAAGAATAAGATACGCGTTTCTTACCTTTGAGCCGGTTCTGTCGGTCCAAAACGCGTTCAATCCATGAAAAGTTGTACTCAATAAGTCCGTAATAATCCACAGAAAAAGAATATCAAGTTGTTTTTTCCATAAAATAATTCCATGTGGGTAAATAATACAGAAAATCCTCGTCCGTATGAATGGATGAATGCGTGAATGAAAATATATATGTTGCTTTTCCGAGCCTTCTCCCTCTCTGAGTTCCATTTCTCTCCCGCTCTTGGGTGCGCTTGTTTTCCTCACACTCTCAGCTTCAAAATGAGACCCTCCCCGCTGTTGTCGGTGGCGGGGTTTAGGTGGGACAAGCCGCTGAAGAAGCTAACGCACTCACGTACTTTCTGGCTTTACGCACGCGTCATCAGTTTGTTTACGGGAAATCTCTTCAGTCATTGGATCTTCCAGAAAGTGATTGACATATTGTTTTAGCCTATCACCAGAGCTTTCAAACGGTGGGTGGGACATGCAGACAGTCTTTGAAACGGACGCGGTGTTTACAGGCGCCACAGAGAGGGACACAAGAAGTGGTTCGGGAGGGGCCATATTGGGCAGATCTGCCACTTGGAAGACAATTTTGGCTTTTAGGTTTTTTTCTTGAGAAAACATGCCTAAAGCTCAGAAGAATTAGTATTATAATAATAACAATTATTATTATTATTATTATTATTATTTTGGCACAAATTTGGCAATCTTGTGCCGAATTGTAATGTTGTTTACACAAAGGCTCACAGCATCAAAACCCTTTGTCGTAGAGATCTGAAATTCTACACAGTTATTGCCAACAACTTGAACAATGAGTGTAGTG